GTCCTAGCTTGGTTTGTTAATTAAGAAATCTATTTTTCAGATGGGCGGTGGTGGCGCCTGCCTTTAAGCCCAGCACTCGGGAGATGGCAGGAAGATCTTTGTGAGTTCGAGGCCAGCCTGATCTACAGAGTGAGTGCCAGGATAGGCTCCACAGCTACACAGAGAAATCCTGTCTTGAAAAACAAACAAAACAAACAAAAAACCAAAAAAAAAAACCATAAAAACCTAAAATAATGAAATCTATTTTTCATGTAGCAGCCCTGGACCCCAGGCCCTTTGCATTTGCTGTGGTCCTGTCGGGAAGACTATCCCACAGAGATGTATGCAGTCTGCTCCTTAGACTCCTGCAGGACTTTGTCTAGCTCCCTATTTAATGGCATCCTCTCTTGCTTTCAGTCCATCCTGTGGTGCATGTGGCCCATGGGCTGCTTGGCAATTGCCTAATGAGTGTGAGTCAATAACTGAGCAAGGCTAATTTGCTCCTGCTGCTGTCAGCAGGGCCAGATGTCCTTGTTTGCAATTTGGGTTCAAAATTCCCTGGAAAGAGAGAGCAGCATTTTGGGTCAGACTTCCCATGCACATACTAGACAAGTAAACAAAAAGCATTGACTAGGCACCTACTGTATGTTTGGTTTCTATTGGCTAAGGGGATGAACATGCAAAGTTGAGGGTTAGTCTTTTTCTGGGTATTTATGACTGACATGGTGGGTTCTAAGTGCTGAGCCCCAAGTCGCTTCTCATAACCATGGGAGTGGATAGCTGAAGCCTGGGGGTTGGAGAAGAGGTGGAGAAGGGCTGAAGGCAGCAGGAATTTTCTGGAAATAAGGAACCACTCTGAAGGACAGTCGTCCCCCCCCCCCCCAACACACACACACAGGAAGCTGGATGCTGCTGTGTGGCACCCAACTGGGTGACTGGTAAGCCAAGTCCATGTGGCCTGCCTCCTCTTTGGCCTCACACTTTCAGATCATCTCAAACAGCCCAAAGGCTGCATTACAGGGGCATTCTTCAGACACTGTCTCTGTGGCCCAGGAATCTGGGAAGAGGCTATGTGGTCCTGGCTTCAGAATAGCCTGCATGTAATCTAATACAAGTAGCATGAACTTGGGTGAGGCTGAAGAACTTTCCTGGGCTCAGTATGGCTACTTGTGAATTGGACCCCTTCATTAACAAACTTTTAGGAAGTCTGTTATGTGAGACTCTGCCCCTATGACAAAAAAGGGAGCCCCATTGCAGACTCCAGGTTGTAGCCAAAGCTCAGGCAAGCCAGTTCCTTTCAGGGAGACCCTGCTGTTTCTTTTTGGGCCTCTAGTCATCATGACCTTTCTCTGAGGTGTGTCAGGGTTCTTGGCAGGCTTTGGCCCCTGCCTTTGTCTCTAGGCCCACCAGATTCCTCTCTGGAAGATGCTGGGAGTGGGAGCAGCTGGGAGGAGAAATCTCCCCTACTACTACCTCTGCTGTCCCCACCTTCAAATACAGGTCCATTAGATGCTGGTCATGGAATTTTTATTTTGGAGTAGACACGAGGAAAAGGTAGGAGTAGGGTGAGACGAGGAAACAGTGATTGATGGCCTGGCTTCTAATCACACCAGGGCTGTTTTCTATGTATGAGACACTAGCCAAGGCACCCACTCTGTCCCAACTCCCATCTTCAAAATGCAGACTCTAAGCCACCAGGGGGTACAGGGAATCGTAGCTGGCGTGGTCTGCCAGGGCCTGGCACCTGGCAGTAAGCCTAAGCACCTCTAATTCCCAACCCTTCTGCAGTCACCTACCATGTCCTGGGGGGCTGAAGGGTGGTGGCTATGGACTTCACCTGGCCTTTCCTTTATTCCTCCTGTGGCCTTTCTGGGCCTGCAGCGTGACTGCCTTAAGGTCCATGTGCAGCAGGAAAATAAGGATTTAGCACCCCCTGTTGGCAAAGTCAGGTTATGTCTGGGTGGTCTGAGGTGGTGCCGAAAAGGGGAGGCTCCCAGCCAGCTGTTTGTGGCCTGCTGTACACAGGGATTTTTCTCTAGGAAACTCTTCTTTCTGCTGTCAACATTCATCAAGGGCATCCAATCATTTGACCTTAAAGTTGTTATCTTCACACATTAATCAATATAATATAATATAATATAATATAATATAATATATAATAGAAGTCAAGTGTTAGACAGACATAACCAAGATCCCCTCATGCCTTGGAACCAAAGACCAGAGAAGCCCACAGCCCAGACCTCAGATGACTGCCATAGGGCATCTATTCACCCACCCATTCAAGCATTTACTCACAAGGCACTGGCTTCCATTACCATAATGAATCTTGATACAATCAACTTTGGAAAAAGATGAAAGAAGGTTTATTTCCAATACATAGTTTGAAGGTTTCAGTCCATAGTGGTTGGCCCTGTTAATACTGGGCCAGTGACCAGGCAGCATATCACACCGGGGAGCAGCTGGTGAAGACAAAACAGAAACAAACACCAACACCCACACACACCCACACACACCACCACCCGGCCAACAGCACCCAATTAGGAGCCAACTCTTTTTCAGGTCACTCTTTTTCAGGCCCAGAACAATGAATGAAACAATCGAAGGACATCTCTCCTTGTGCAGTTTATATTCTAGAGAGGGGCACTGCAAAGAAACAACAGGCAGAAATGGGTCAGGGTTGTTGATTGTTTAGAAGAAAGTAATGCTACTTAAAAAGATGGAAGGCAGAACGAGACAGGAAAGCTGTTATGTGGTGAGAGGGAGGGTGGGCTTTAGCAGTCTAGAGTCCTGGACCCCCCTCTCTGTAGCCGGCATCTCTGTTTTTGAGACAGGGTCTCAGTATGTAAAGCAGGCTGCACTTGAACTCAAGGGGACCCACCTGCCTCTGCTTCCCAAGTGCTGGGATTTAATTGTGTGTGCCACCACGCCTGGCTCATTTTTATTTTAGTTTGAAAACAGGGACCTGGGTGTTCTGGGAGGTTAGGCTACTTTGGGTCCACATCTGTTTCTGGACTGCCAAGCTAGCTCGGGCACAGCTAAGAAGCCTTCACACATCCCCTTCTGCCCTGTCGTGTGAGCACACATGCATCTCCTATTCAGTCTGAGTATCTTCAGGGAGGTAGATATCCTGACTTCTGACTTTAACTAGGAGAAAGGAAAACTTGCCAAAGTCACACAAGCAGGAGGGCCTAGGCCCTGGCAGATGGTGCTTGAGATTCTCAGACATCCCTTCCTGGCTTCCTTGGGCAGTGGTCCTTCTGTCCTGGTCAACCCCACTCCAACCTGCCCTCACATTATGGCCTCCTCAAAAACAGGGAGGAGCAATAGACTCGTTGTGCTTTGGACAGGCCCTGCTTCCACTGGTGACTCTCAATAGTTGGCAAGCACTCAATTCACCTGGTGTCTTGCCTGTGCACCCAGCCCCAGCTCTAGCCTCCTCTGAAGAGCAGTGGTCCTCAGGGCTTGTGAACTCCTCAGGTGATGTCACCGCTCTTTAGATTTACTTCAACCTGACACTTCATGGAGCCAGTTCTTTGTAATGATACCAAGGCCATTTTAGGTAATGGGAAGCTCCTGGGAAGAGTCTTCGAGAAGGGAAAAGATGGGTCATATTACCATTGATTGCTTAAAAGAGATGGGAGGGGCTGGAGCAGACTGTCCCTGAAATGGCAGTGAGGGCACTTCCAGCAGGCATGGAGACTTTAGACTGCACAGAGATGAGTGAAAGGAGAGCAGATAAGCCCAGTGGGGTGATACAAGCTCTGGGATGTGGAGAAGGGAGGGACATTGGGCCACAGACCCCTAGAGCTTAAGAGGCAATGGGGTTTATGGTCAGCTGACTTCGACCTAACATTGTAACACAACATTGTCTATAAAGTTGGGGCTTGAGAACTGGGCAGCCGAGTTACAGAAGAAAAGCAACAGCTATCTCATAGTCTTTTAAGTTTTGGCTTTGTGTTGGGTTACATCTGTGGCTGTGGTGGGGCATGGAAGGCACAGCAACTACAAGTTCACATGTGGCTGTGGTGGGGCATGGAAGGCACAGCAACTACAAGTTCACATAGCCAGGCACCCTCCTTGTGTGGTCTGGTAGGATCAATTCACTCCTTTGAGCCTCTAGTTTCTCATCTATAAAGTGACTTATGGAACCAACTCGAAGGGGAGACCAGGAGAAGCCTAGAACCATACACTAGCTCTGAGCCGATTCTTGCCTGGCTTCCGCAGTCCCCCCTTTTCCATTTCCTCTGCTCAAGACCGATCAGCCCTGAAACTCATGGAGGAGGGCTGTCCTGTTGGCAGTAGGACATGGAGCACAATTCAACTACCCTCATTTGTCTGTTGGACTGGGGAGGGGGAACTAAACAGCTTTTCAATTTTAGGTTCTTGGGAAGTTTTCTGACACTTTACTCCACTCTGATTCAACTGCCTTGCGACACACTGACATCTCCCCTTAAACTAATCTACAATGGCAATGTCTTGGCATGCTCAAAGGAGTCCATCAAGGATGGAGCAAGAGGACTGACCCAGATTCCTTCCACTTCCAGGGCTATGTCAACCTTGGTACCTTTGAGAACAAGCTTTGCTTTAAACAGATAAAAGAAAGGGTAGGACATGTTCTGGGCTTTGTTGAGACTCGACCCTTCTGGGCCCAGTTCCCCAGTCTATTCCTCTGCTTGTGGAAGGTTGGGGGGGGGAGACACAGATATTTTGGGGAGAGCAGAGACACTGCTTCTAGAACAACTCACCTAGGCTCCAGGCCTGGCTGACTGTCCAGAGGTCTTGTCTAGAAGGTATGCAGTGGTAGCCTGCCCAAAGTGAGAGCTTTGGCTTAAGGAGGCTGTCTAATGCTTGCCGTTCATACTTGTGTGTATCCAGGACAAGGCTAACCCCCCTTCATAAAGAAGCACACAGAATGTATCATCCCTCCCCTTCTGGGCAGAGATTTGTGCATGAACTAGGAACAAACTAAGACCCCACTTGGCCTCCCCAGGCTTCTGTCTTCATGTTCTATTTGTGAACAGTTGAGTAAGGGTAACATGAGCTTCATTGATGAGGATCTGCTGGAGTACTTCGACTGGCAAGGACAGCACTTGTAAGTGATTTTCAGAACTAGGGCCTCTTGGTATACAGGCACCTTTCACCCATCACCTACTTGATCTATACATCACATATTAGACATATGTAACCTATATATTGGGTGTATGTAACCTGTATATTGGATATAGACACACACACACGCACACACACATATCATTGAAGAATCTAGGTGTAATACAGGGTGGCCTCCAGCTCCCTATACAGCTGAGGATGTCTTTGAATCTGATCCTCCTACCTTTACCTCCTGGGTGTGGGGAGGTGTATACTAGCATGCCTAGTTTTTTTTTCTTTTTTAATTATTTCATTAATTCAAATTAGAAACAAGCTTGCTTCACATGTCAATCCCTTCTCCAGGCCGAGACAGCATCCCTTCATGTGGGATGGGCTCTCAAAGTCCCTTCTTACACCAGGGAAAAATACTGATTCACTACCAGGGGGCCCATAGAGTGCCAAGGCCTCCTCATTGATATCCATGTTCAGGGGTCTGGATCCGTCTTGTGTTGGCCTCCCAGACAGCATTCTGGGGTCCATGTACTCCCCCTTTTTCAGGTCAGCTGTTTCTGTGGGTTTCACCAGCCTGGCCCCCATCCCCTTGCTCTTCATTCCTCCCTCTCTGCAACTGGGTTCCAGAGTTCAGTTCAGTGTGTATCTGTGGGTATCTGCACATGCCTAGTTTTATTATGGTGCTGAGGATGGAACCCAGGGTTCAATGCATGCATTTTAGTGAAGCATCTGAAGACAAGCACCCCTGAGCCAATTCCCTTTCCCCCAAAGACACCATATTTAAGATTGACTACCTTCCTATACCTTTGGCTAATAACGTCCAGGAAATACCTAGCAGGCATGTCCAGCTTGAGGCATGATAGTTATGTATGCAGCCTAACACAACATTGTTAAAACTTATTTTTAAAACATTGAAATTTTTTTGGCTGATTTTTTTAAAAACCTTGATACCACAGTTCTCGAATATGAATTGTATGGATGATGGTGGTTGCATTTGACATCAAAGGTTGGATTTGCTTAATAACAAAACCTCTTGGAGGCAGCCTAATCTGGCAGAAATAGCATGTATCTATAATTCAATCCTGGCTTTTCTTACCTCTCAGCATCTGTGTGACCCTGGAGAGGTGGCATCTTTAGTCTGTAGCCCTATCAGCTGAGTTGGCCTGGGTAACAAACATCTCTTTAAGGTTGGATGCTGTGTCCTTTAAAAGTGTGTCATCTAGATTCTGAATGAGGAAGGGCACCTGGGAACTATAGGGTCTCTTTGGGTTTGTCTGCAGCCTTTGGGAAGATCTGGCCACTTTCTTGACTCACTCCTGCAAGGCACCTACACCCCTATATCCAGAAAATGTGAGTTGGTATAGTGTGTTCTTGGGTTCCCTCTGAATTACCTATAGAATACAAAGAGAGCTCTCAGAGCAGCAGGGCACTGTAAAAGCAGCTAAAGGAGATCCCTGTGGGAAGTCCAGGAAGAAGGACCCTGGTGGAAGTCCAGCTAAAGGAGGGTTCTGGGACCTACCCTTTGGGAGGAGAGGGAGATATGGTGTGTGGATACCCCCTCCTTATACAGGTACTGATTTGACTTCTGCCTCTTGGACCTTGTCCTCAGGTGGTGGTTCTAAATGGCTTCTGGTCAGTCTTTTTCCTCACTGACTATGGTTCTGTGTGACCCAGGTGGTAAGTCAGCAGGCTCTGCTTGCCTTCCTGGTATGTGGGTAAGGACGCCTAGGTACTGGGCCTTGGAAGAGAAGACCATGTTGACTTGAGGTCTTTTCCACAAGTGCAGGCCATTTTGTCCTGCCAAAGATATCTTTGTATCATTTCTGGGAAATTGAGGGAGTTAGAGTCCTCATTTAATACTGAAGAAATTGTGACAGTTCTCAATGAGGTGTTCTAGATGAAAAGATCCACAAGGCCAAGAGAATGGGAAGGAAAAGCTATGGAATCCACCAGGTCCAGTGCTCGGAACCTTTCTTGGACATGGCCTTTGACCTTTAGCGTCTGGCCTGGCACAGACAGACTTGCTTGTTTTTGTTTATTTTTTTCAGTTTACTGGTGAGGACAGCTGCTCAGTCAGGAAAGTGCTTGGCACTCATGCACAAGGACCTGGGTTTGATGCCTGGAACCCACATAAAAATCTGGGCACAGTGGGACTTGCTTGTAATCTTGAGGCTGTGGAGGCAGAGACAAGCAGATCCCTGAAGATTGCTTGCCCACACAGCCTAGCTCTAGGTCAGTGAAGATACACTATCTTAAGAGCAAGGTATATTGTTCCAGAGGAAAGACTCTGGGGTTGACCTCTGACCTTCACATGTGCATGCATACAGGTGTACATATCCCAACACAGACATTAGCCCCTCAACGAAAAGAATTTGTCATGGGAAGTACCTGGCTTGATTCCTAGTTTGGACTCTGAGCTGTTCACTGTGATCATCCCTCTTTGCCTCCTTCAGTGTGCTTGCAAAATGAAGCTAGAATTTGTTCCCTAAATAATGCATATAAAAATGGATCTTTTTTTAATGAAGCTTGAACACAAGGATAGAAGAAGGGATTCCTACCTGGGATTCTTGTGTTGGGAGCCTTGCTGCTCATCTTGACTGCCAGATAACTTTGTATCCTTGTACTCCTAGATGCCTTTCTGATCCCTACACCATGCTACAATGGCTTCACCTTTAGCTCCTACTTTTATACAAAAGTCGAACTTATTCCTGTATATTTGGAAAGCCAGCTCAGAATGGGCCCCTGAGGAGGCAGAGGGTCCTTGTTCTCTAAGTGATAGTGGGAGCAGGGTGATACCAGGCTGAAGAAGGCTTGTGGACCTTGACTTGACTGTATCAGACTTGTAGGCTGAGAAACTAGGCTTAGGAACAAGCCCCTCATAACTGCATGTGTCTCCAAGGTCGAGGAGGGCAACTTGTATTTTTTCCAACTCACCATGGATAAGCTGGAGCATGCCCTGACTCAGGCTAAGATGAAGGTAAGGACAGGGGAGCCTTAATTTTGGAGTGGCCACTCTTGGCCCTAAAAAGTCTCAGTAGTATGACTGACATACAAGTTGTGGGGGGCTTTCTCTAAATGGGAAAGGCAACAAGTAATTCTAAGGACCTGACTTCACTATAGTAGTAAATCCCACCCACAGAAACTTCCAGAACACTTCCTTTTTCCTGTTTGTTAGTAGCATGCCATTATACCCAAGAGGTCCTACCTAGGCTTTATCAGGTGTCCTATGTTAGATGTCCCAAATCATAAAGGATGCTTGGTAGAATTTGGAATAGATGTAAAGGACTTATATTCACTCTTGTGTTTGCATTTCTTCTCAGGCAAAAAAAAAAGTCAAAGGACTTGTGCTAATCAACCCCCAGAATCCTCCGGGTAACATCTATACCTAATCAATGCTGAAAGAATACCTGGCCTTTGACAAGAAGTATGTGTTCCACCCCATCACTTGTCAGCATTAGATGCAGACATAACTTGCCCAAGATTACCCATGCTGTAATATGCTTTGTAGGGTTCTAGAAAGACTGCTAAATGAAGGAGAAAGGGGCCCGTGTTCACCATTTCTGTTTTCTTATTTCCTCTCCAGCCTTTCCCCATACAAACATACCTAGCCATCAGGCCATGGCTTTGTTGCTTGTCTACTCCCCCCAGTATCTGTTCTCAAACCACCTGAACTGCAGTACCAAAAATGACAGATGCTCAAAGACAGGCCACTGTAGAACTTTCATGGATCACTGCTAAGAACATGATAGCAACAGTTGCCTCTGGAGTTGTGCAGCACCCCTGCTAGGACAGATAACCTGTTTTCTAGAAACAGCACTCAAACTTCATGACTAACCCAAACCAGCTGGCAGAGGGGAGAGAGGACAGAGGGGAAAGAGACAGAGGATGCAGGAGGCTGCTGTCAAGAACTCAACGGAGCTGAGTGCTGAGCAAATTCCAGCCGTCTTGGTTGCTTTCCTGTTGCTGTCATAAACTATCCTGTAAAAAGTAACAGAAGGAAGGATTATTTGGCCTCATGGTTCATGGGTAGTACATCATGGCAGGGAAGTCATGGTGGTAGGATAGTCAAGTGGCTGCTCATGTTAGGATCTGTGGACTGTAAAGAGCAAGGGTTGTTCTGCTCAGCTAGTCCCTCTCCCCCTCTCTTCTCCCCTTCTCCACCTTTTCCCCCCTCCACCCCTCTCTACCTCTCTTCATCCCTGTAGTTCAGGACTCAAGACTGCTCACTGTAGGGTTGGTCTTCCTATCTTAATTAACCTAAATGGGGTAATCCTTCACTAGTGAGTCCAGAGGCTGGTCCCTTAGGTGGCTCCTGTGACGTTCACAATATGTTAATTATCACATCACCTGAGCTCTGGGACCCTACTAGGTTGAATGTCTTAGATCCTTAACTGTGAACTGGGGATGATGGTGCTGGGTCAGAGGGTTGTCAAGAACTGAGGATGTGAGTGTGCTCAAAGCCCTCTGGGACTTCAGTTTAGACCCTAGTGGCAGCTGACTGTCACTGATGCAAACACCTGGGCAGGTTTCCCTCTTCTTCCATCCTCTGCTTGATACTTAAAGGGTCAGATGCGATATCCCATGAGTAATGGTCCCTCTTTTGTACCACCGGCCAGAGACAAAGGTCCCTTCTTTTGCTCCACCTCTTTGTACACTATAATGCCCCTTAGGAAGTGGAGTAAGCTACTGGGATGATTGGAGTCTACAATCTGTATCCAAAAGCAGAAAAGAGAGTGAGTTAAGATTATAGAGAGAGCCAGGCCTGGTGGCCCACGTCTTTAATCCCTGCAGTTGGGAGGAGGCAGAAGCAGGCAGATCTCTGAGTTTGAGGCCAGCCTGCTCTACAAACTGAATTCTAGGACACACCAAGAAACCCTGTCTTGAAGAACAACAACAAAAACAGAAACAGCTGAGCAGATGGCTGAATGGGTAAAGGTACCTGCTACCAAGCCTGGTAAACTGAGTTTAATCCACAGGATCTACATGATGAGAGGACAAAACTGATTCCAAAAAATTGTTCTCTGCCCTCCACCCATGGACCTCATGCACACATGCACACACACATGCACAAAATAAAATGTAGTAATCTTTAAAATTGCAGATAGAAACTAAATCTATTTTCTTCTCTCACCCAACTATAGGCACAACCTGCATGTGATCATAGATGAGAGTTACATGCTGTCCGTGTTTGATACATTCGTCACATTTCACAGTGTTCTGAGTATGAAATGGTAAGTTTGTCCCCTGTAGTGCTGGGAGCAAGAACCACAAGGTTCCTGGGGTTTTTGCTTTGTAAGGTGAGTTCATGAAATAGGAACTTGTGTGGTTGTGTGCTGGGGAATGAGTTAAGAGCCGATGGGGATTGTGAATATGAACAAAGTGTCCTCTGCCCTCCTGGGTATTGAGTCCAGATGCCATTCTGTGTATAAGTGAATGCTAGAGCAAGGCAGCAAGTGTATCATTAAATGCCAAGGGGCAGCAGGTCAGTCAGCAAAGTGCCTGGTGTGCAAAGCATGAGGATGAGTTGGAATCCCAGAACCTATGTAAAAGTCAAGCACAGCAATGTGCGCCTATAACCTTAGAGGTGGGGGAGGGGCTAAGGGCCAGGTCTGGAGCTCACTGGTCAGACAGCCTGGTTGAACTGAGGAGAATCGGGCAGTGGGGGTAGTGGGGGTAGTGGGGGAGGTAGAAAGTGTTCTAGAAAAACACCCAGTTTTAACCTGTGGTTTTCACCCCTATATGCGTGCATATGTGCACACATGCATGAAAGTGGACTCACACATGCATATGTACATATTAAGGAGAGGCCCAGGGGGATGGTCAGAGTAGGGACTTCTTTTCTACACAGCATCTGGTTGTGTAACCTAGCCTGGCCTCAAACTCTTTAACTCTCCTGTCTCCACCTCCTGAGTTCTGGGAATACATGTATGTCCCATCATGTACAATTTGAATGGGGGGAGGGCAGAATATGACCATAAGGGTAGGTTTCATCAAAGCAAGGCATAGGCATATCCGCTAAAAGGAACAGATTCACCAAAGGCAGGGCAGTGAGTGAGGGAGGTGAGTATATTCTAGAACCAGTGGGCAGCCAATGGCCTGGAAGGGCAACTGCCAAGGAAGTGATTTTGGATCAGATGCAGCAGAGCTAGAGTCAGGCTGAGGGTTCTGGACTTCAGAGGGTACTTGAGTACTGTTCCCTGTGTGCTTTTCAGGGACCTTGTATTGTCTCCCTAGCATAGCTACTACCTATCTCTTGAAACTGGGCACCTTATACCCTATCTAGGAAGAACCTAAAGTTCACTTTCTCCTTTCCATTAGAGGTCATTTATCCACCCTTTAACCATTCCCCCAACCATGATTTAAAAAAACTCTTTTCTAGCTTGCCTGACCCTAACAAGACCCATATGATCTGGGAAACTAGTAAGGTAAGCCCCAGCCACCTGTCTTTGGGTCTGGAAGGAAGGGAAGGCAGGAAAATCTAGATGTTCCTTCCCCAACTTCTCTCCTCCAGGATTTTGGCTTCTTTTATATGTGGCAGAAACCAGATCTCAGTCCCTTGAATGCTGGTTCTCGACCTCAGATGTACCTAAGAGTTTCCTAGAAACTGCATCCTCAAAAGATTTTCATTTAGATCCTTTGGAAGTACAATTAGGCATGGAGCTGAAGAGATGACTCAGTGGTTAAGAGTACATACTGCTTGCTCTTCCTGAGGACCTTAGTTCTGTTCCTAGCACCTACAACAGTCAACTTACAAACTCATGACTCCAAAAGCACCTGTGTACATGTGCACAAACTGGCGCGCGCGCGCGCGCGCGCGTGGACACGCACACACACACACACACACACACACACACACACACACACACA